GACAGCCAAAAGGACAAACAAGTGGGTCCTAGAGCAGATCAGGCCAGAGATATCCCTAGAAGCCAAGTACTTTGGGCACATCATGAGAAGGCACGACTCATTGCAAAAAACAATAATGCTAAGAGATGAAGGCTGCATGCTAAATGAATGGACTCTCTTAAGGAGGTCACAATTATAGGTTTTCAGAAACTAAGCAGTGCAGTGGAGGACAGAAAGGGAGTCTTGGAGATATCTCATCCACAGGGTCACCACCGGTCGAGATTGTCTCGTGAGTGGTTAACAACAACAATAAAAAAGTAAAATGGTGTCCTGTATATCAAATGGCAAAATCAAGGTTTGCTTTTTGGATTTCAAACTGTACATGGTGGAATCCATGGATGCAGAACCCATGGATACAGAGAGCTAACTGTATATCAGTTTTATACCAGTTTCATGGAATCCTGGTATTTGTAGTTAGTTGAGATATGTTGAGAGAGTTCTAGTCCATATCACTGAACAAACCAGAGAAGAGATGGGCTGGGATTAACTCTCCTTTTCTGTTGAGCCATAAGATACTAAAAGCCACAGCTTGGGCCTGGCTTAGTTTGGCTGGCTATGAACGGGGTAGTTGTTGGCATTCAAGGCCAGGAATTATGAAGTACCTTGGAAGTATGCTTCCAGCATTGGAATATGAAGAATATAGTGTGCCCTTGGTATCCACTGGGGTTTGGTTTCACATGGATACCAAAATCTATGGATGCTCAAGTCCCATTAGATACAATGGCATCGTAATATGGTATCTCTTATATAAAATGGCAAAATCATGATTTGCTTTGTGGAATTTATATATATTTTTGGATTATTTCCAAGCTGTGGATGGTTGAATCTATGGATAAAACCATCAGTGGACATGGAGGACAAACTGTACATGCTTGAAAAGCAAATAATCACAGCCTTGGTCCCTGGCATCCTCAGACAGGGCTGGGAAAGCCCTTTGCCCAAGAACCCAAAGAGATGGTACTACCAGTCAGTGTAGACAGTACTGAGCTACATGGGCCCCAAAGGCCTTCTGTGCTATTCTAAAAAAGGTAGCTTCCTATATCCAGACATAGTGCTACAATTCCCTGTCTTTCACACAGCCACAGCAGTCTCCCTTACCACACACTGAGCGTGTAGGAGAAAAAGCATTTACCCTATAAGTCTATGTGCGGGTGGAAGAGGACAATGCTCAAAACAAAGGGTGGAAATGGAGGAACTGGAAATGCTGGAAAGGAACAGACTTCAATAGCCCCCTGGCTCTTGCAAGCCTCCATAAATCACACCACTCCATCTCTAAGAGGCACATTCATAACCCTTCTGTTCTTTCTCAAGTCACTATTCAAACTATTTCAAAACTGATCAGTATCTTAATAATAAGTCAAAGGGTCATTGGCCCATTCTGGAAGGACCCCTCCACTTTTCTATACTAAAAGAGGTTATTGGATATGTTTTGTTTTGGCCACGGAAAAGCTTCTCTGCTCAAGGACAAGTGTAATGCAAGAGTCAGGACATGAAAAAGACCCAGATTTTAAATTCCTTTTAGGGCTGGCGAAAGCTAAAGGTCACTTTTGGAAAAGTCATTAGTGCCTACTATCAAACAGCTTCTCAGCTTCAAAAAGCTCAAAGGGGAGGCGAGTTGATGTCAGCCATTTTTTGAAGGAAATGTCACACTCACCTATATTAAATGTGCATATGAATTTGGATCCATGCAATAAAACAGAGATTGAAACGCAAATATGGCTTTTGTTTCCTAGGGATGAGGTCACACATTTCCCTCAGCAGTGATTCACTTTAACCTTTTTTGGTCAGGAACCTGGAAGGAAGGCACAGCCTTGCTTTTTACTGAGCAATGGGTAGAATACTACCTGCAGATTTCCCTCTCTAGGACAAGAGAGCTAGTCTTAAAAGATGATATCTGAACATTCAGGGGAAAGATTTTGGCATGAACTGGGACAGACCACTGTGGAAATAATGAGTTATAAGCAACATAGTTATTTTTTAAAAGTGGAATCAAAGATACACTTAAAAATAAGTTTTAAATGGGACATACGAAATGAGAAAAGGGGGAAATCTCCAAAGAGGAATTCAAACAAATAGCTAGCATGAGAGAAGCTAAAGTGTAGAATGAACTCAGGCTTGCTAGAGAGGTTCGGAACAATAAAAAGGGCTTTTTTGGGTATGTCCAGAAGACAGGATCAAAATTCAAAATAACCTTAATAGAATGGAAAGATGGCCCAAAACTAATAAAAAAAATTTCAACAGGGAAAAATGTAAGGTACTACACTTAGGCAGAAAAAATGAATTGCATAGACATAAGATGGGGGGCACCTGACTTAACAAGATTATGGACGTTATCACA